GGACCTGAACCTGTTCAGCCTTCACAAGAGAAGGCTGAGGGGGGACCTGGTGACCATCTATAAGCTCACTAGGGGGGACCAGAAGGGCTTGGGGGAGAGCTTGTTTCCCCTAGCGTGCCCTGGGATAACAAGGAATAATGGCCAAAAGTTGTTGGAGAGTAGGTTTAGATTAGACATCCGTAGGAACTACTTCACAGTTAGGGTGGCTAGGATCTGGAACCAACTTCCAAGGGAAGTGGTGCTGGCTCCTACCCTGGGGGTCTTTAAGAAGCGGCTCGATGCCTACCTGGCTGGGGTCACTTGAGCCCAGTTTCCCTCCTGCCCAGGCAGGAGGTTGGACTTGAAGATCTACAGGGTCCCTTCCGACCCTACTTCTGTGATTCTACGATTCTATGAAACCTGGCAGACTTCATGGACTCAGAAGGGTATACCATCCCTGCAAGTTTCATCCAAATCAGGCAAAAACTGACAAAGTTATAGGCAGTTTCCTGCTTCCCCATTATAGCCTATGGGTGAAATGTTTCACTGTTTTGATGCTGTTTCAACAGTTTTGACAAAATGAAATGGAACAGTGGTTTTGAAACAAAACAAAACTCAAAACAAAACACTGTCCCATTGAAATGGTGAAATGGAAGTCGAAACAAAACAGAGCTGCTCCTCACAGCCCTACTGCCAAGCTAGTGTGTGGACTAATGCCCACACTCTGTCTATGCATGCACAGTAGGGCTGTGTGAAGTTTCGGTAGCCAATTCGATTCGGAGGAGATTCGGCCCGATTTGGGGGCCAAATCTCCGAACCCAAATCAAATCAGGGGACCCATTACAAGATCCAAATCAAATTGGTAGCCTCCAAATTGATTAGGAGATTCAGGCGGTCCCCGCTTGCTGCTGCAGGGAGCTGGACCTGGCTCTGTGCTGGTAATGAGGTGGTGGGAGGGCTGGAGGAGGGGGGAGGGGACCATGGGGTGACCTCTGCTCAGCCCCATCTCCCGCCAGCTCCCACAGCCCCCCTGAGAACACTCCCCCCACTTGGCCCTCTCACTCACCGCTGCCACACCCCCACCACTTCCACTGCTGCCGCCTGTTCAATTCAGAGGAGTTTCAGCCCAATTCAGCGGCTGAATATCTGAGTCTGAATCGGCCGAATCGAATTGGGACAGTGTTTCGAATCACCAAATCGAATCACTGTCCCTCTGAATTGGCCAAATCCGAAGCCAAGTTGAATAATTGCTGCTTTGCACAGGTCTAATGCACAGGTACCTATCCACGCTGCAGGGGTAGCAGAATTGTAACCAATACATACGTGCACCAGTAAAGTGGCTGGAAATCTGCCATTTAGGCTCACAACCTGAAATGGAATTCTGCTTTAGGAGACTGAGTGAAAGCCCTTTGCAGTGATGCTTTGGATCAACATTCATCTCCAGCTAAACCTAATACTTGATGCACTGTGTTTGCCTGAAAACTGTTAGATGTGCTCATCTGTCCCCTCCACTTGTGATTCATCTTATTTTATCCAAAGGCAGTGACAGGTGACAAACGGACAGTTTCAAACAAGTATTTACCATCCTCCTATCATTTTTCCCTGCAGGAGCTCCTTCCCCTGGCACCTTGCCATCCTCCTAACAGGCATTTTCCATGTCCTAAGAGATATTCCAATTGGACCGGATGGTGAGATGGAACCAGAGTACAGCACCATATCTATAATTGCTCGTCTGAGAAGTGGACTAATTTTTCCAAAGATTTAGCCTCCTTTATTTTCATTGTTATCCCACATCTTTTCCTCCTACATCTTTTCTACTGTTCTTTTCTGCCTCTTGTCTAATATGCAGCCATTGGCAGGTGATTGCTCAGGTTAATGACACATCAAGGGTTCACTCAGTCAGGGAAGCCATGCAGATTTACAATGAACTCTCCCCAGCACTGAACTGTGGGATACTATATCAGTGGAGAAATAAGAACCCAAATACAATTGTTGCCTTGTGGGCAGCTCTGAAAGTTACTCAAATAAGCCAGGTTGCTCTAAGAGTCATACCAGCTTTGCTCTGTCTTTCACCAAGAGAAGGGGGCTAACTTAGTGGGGCTAACGGAAACCTGGTGGGATTCATCTCATGATTGGGCGGTACATATTGAGGGCTATAGATTGTACAGAAAGGACAGGGTGGGGAAGAAAGGGGGAGGGGTTGCGCTCTATGTCAGTGAGCAATATACATCAACCCTCATCAAGACGGAATCCAAGGATGAGGAAGTAGAAGGATTGTGAGTTAGGCTACATGGGGGGAAAGGAGAAAGGGATTTGGTGGTAGGGGTCTGCTACAGACCCCCACATCAAGGGGAAGAAAGAGATTCGGGGCTCCTGAGGCAACTCTCGGAGACCATAAAAGCTAAAGAGG